CCCTGGGCAACGTATACTCATACGACAAAAAGGTCTATTAACCGGCAGTTGACTTCTGACTTCAAACTGCCATGATCCCAATGGATGTCATATTCGACTACTTCACAGTACTCACCTCTCCTCTTTTCTACTTTCCACCTTCGTCTTTGAAACACTCTTCTGTTCCCTCCCCACCCCCTCTCGACATTCTTTCACTTTGATGTTCATTCCCCTCTATGAAGCCTGAGGTCAACTAAAGGGCTAATGATGACCATCAAAACGCCTGCCATTTGTTATAAATAAATATGTTCCAATACTTAGGTCATTATTATTTTAAACTGCTATGATAGGCTTCCATTGCTATCCCTCTTATCTCAATGCTTACTCAATTTGGAGCTAGATTACTCGAATAAAGACTCAAATAAACATCTCAATTTTTCCGGGATTCGTTGCCCAAACGTAAAATAATTTCACTGAAGGTTTGGGAAAACAAATATATATATATATATATATATATACTTCCCTGTCTGTAGGTTTGGTGCCATCATGTGTAAATGCTCTACGTAACTAATTTTTATTTGTCTTTTATCTTATGAAATGACGGATATTCTCACTATTATTGACAAATTCGTTGTCGCACTTTGTAAAGAGTATTTTGAAAAGCAATGCGAATTCTGAAAAGAAGATTTAAAACAACTTAAATACTTCGAAAAAAATGTCCATCCACCCATTATTATTTTTAATTAAGCAAATACATTATTACCAAAACAGGGAATGCAAAAAAGCACAATTAAAAGCACTTAATAACATTTCACAATAGCGATAAGAATCTTCAAATCTGTGAAAAAATGTGACTTCCAGCTAATCCTTTTAGAAACAATGGAAAACGGAATAAAGCTCGTATTTGAGCATTAAGTTTTTTTCATTCAGCATTGGTTAGTATAAGTGGCAATATTGGATAATTAAATTTAAATCAATAACGATTCCATTGTTTCAAACATTGTCATCGATCAAATTGACTTAATAACCAAAGAGGTAAAATCGTAAATTGATTTAGTATGAAAGAATCATGATATTTTTAAATTTAATCCCTGTATCGCACCTCAAAGAATTAAAAAATCGATATATTTCGCAAGTATTTAGAGCTTTCTAGAAACCGAAGTTATATGTTTAGTCATGAGTTGTTGGCTATCTGCTTCGTTCCAAACCTTCCATCATTCCACATCTTCCAATATTACCGTGGGTACACCACTAGAATTTGAGTATTAATTTCACATCTCCAATTAACTTTCCTTTTAAAATCCACTTAGAGAGTCTGTCAAGCAAGGTATTCTTCATAATGAAATTTCATTATATAAGAATAAGTGCGTAATTGACAAATTTTTGAAAGAAAATGAAGTCTATAATTTGAAATTGTCAAGAAAGTTGACAGATCTCCAGCAAAGCAATGAGAACAAAAATTAATGCATTTCCTCTGAATAAAAATTTGTATCCAAAGGCATTAAAAGCTTACAGTATAATGTTCAAATTAATCTAAGCTTGTGGTTTAAGTAAATGTGCGCGCAATAATTTCAGTCATGAATAATATATTAGTAATATTACTTAAAAATATTTACTTCAGGAAATGTCCGTCTTTCTACCAGAGTTTCAGGTTTGAAGTTACAAAAGCTGGATTTGCGCCGTGATCGTTGAAGAGCCTCATGGTCGGTGGTTTCAGAATTAGTAGGCTCACCTTTGACAACGCAGGTTGAGGCCGATCGGAGACGAAATATCGGTTCATCATTTAGTAGACTGGGTCGAGGAGTGAAAAACGCAATGCTATTTTCTTGGGAGTGTTTCTCATCAGCCGCTTCCTCGCGAATGTTGTCAATTAGCATGAGACTACGATTCCAGCCGTCCATCTCAATCACTACGAAGCGCTTTATACAGTCCTCAGAAACTAAACAAAAAAAACACAAATGAAAGTTTTTAACGCTATTTTTTTCCTCAAATTTCTCTATTTTCATGAAATTATCTTTTAATTTTACTTAAATTCTCTCCCTTGCTTATTGTTAATAATCAATCTCCAAAATATTTAGACGTGATATTGCCATTCAGTCTGGCAAGTGGAAGCATCCACTATACTCTAAGTTTCGATCAACCCGCACCAACACTGGACACTCAATGGGACGATTCAAAATTTGTTTCTTCTTTTCATTATATTGCCGTCTGATGATTGTTACAGGAAATTACAGGGCAACAATCCGTTAGGAAATCTGTACTAACTGATATTAAATGGTATTTCCTGCAAATTTTCATGTGCTACGGCATTCATTAAGCCAAATTCAAAGTCTTAGTTAGATCACGAATGTCAGTTACTCACGATTCCTACCCTCGATTAACGGGCTTTCACTATGAGTTCATATGACATCATATTCACAAATAATAACAAGCCTATGATCATTAATTACTTCTCAACAAATTTACCATAGCATTTTTCAAAGTTCATTTTGAGTGTAGAGAGTGGAATTATGGAAACACACAATCAGTCTGAGTCAACTCTCACCAGACTTATTCAATGTCTTTAGTTTTTCCGCTCGTTTGGACTGGGGGGGGG